TGAAATATAAGCCTACATAAACAATGAGCTTGGTGCTTGATTTCAAAACTCACTTATAATGTTATATGAGTTATAATAATAAACAACCAATTTACTAAAAAAGAAGAAATTATTTTTTCATTAATTGCATTTGTGATCAATACTTGAAATATACATAAAATTTTTATTTTATTATGCTGTGATAGCTAAAACAGACATGAAATCATTTTATTAAATGTAAATTATGAATTTTTTTGGTCTTTATTTTTTCCTTGATAATAAAATATTATATTTTGTTTACTTGATTATAGACAAAAGGTTCTCAAACCATGACGCCTGCTGGCGTGCAGAAAAAAGTTAAGAGAACTCTGCCAAATCCACCTCCTGAGGAGACTTCCACGGGTACTCAGTCGACATACAGCACCATGGGCACAGTGACCAGGAGAAGGATTTGCAGAACCAACACCATGGCACGAGCCAAGATTCTCCAGGACATAGACAGAGAGCTTGATCTTGTGGAAAGGGAATCTGCAAAGCTTAGAAAGAAACAAGCAGAACTTGATGAAGAAGAAAAGGAGATTGATGCCAAGCTACGGTACCTGGAAATGGGAATTAACAGGAGGAAAGAGGCATTATTAAAGGAGAGAGAAAAGAGAGAGCGAGCCTACCTCCAGGGAGTAGCTGAGGATCGCGATTACATGTCTGACAGCGAAGTGAGCAGCACCAGACCAACCCGAATAGAAAGTCAGCATGGCATTGAGCGACCAAGAACTGCTCCCCAAACTGAGTTCAGCCAGTTTATACCACCACAAACCCAAACAGAATCTCAACTGGTTCCTCCGACAAGTCCTTACACGCAATACCAATACTCTTCCCCTGCTCTTCCTACCCAAGCTCCCACCCCATACACCCAGCAGTCCCATTTTCAGCAACAAACTTTGTTCCATCAGCAAGTTTCACCTTACCAGACTCAGCCCACATTCCAAGCTGTGGCAACAATGTCCTTCACGCCTCAAGCTCAACCTACCCCAACCCCACAACCTTCTTATCAGTTACCTTCACAGATGATGGTGATACAACAGAAGCCACGGCAAACTACATTATATTTGGAGCCTAAGATAACTTCAAACTATGAAGTGATTCGCAACCAACCCCTGATGATAGCACCTGTTTCTACCGATAATACGTATGCTGTTTCTCATCTTGGTAGTAAGTACAATAGTTTGGACTTAAGAATAGGTTTGGAGGAAAGAAGCAGCATGGCAAGCAGTCCAATATCAAGCATATCTGCAGATTCATTCTATGCAGATATCGATCATCATACTCCACGAAATTATGTCCTAATTGATGACATTGGTGAGATTACCAAAGGAACAGCAGCATTAAGCACTGCATTTAGCCTTCATGAAAAGGATCTGTCAAAAACAGACCGTCTCCTTCGAACCACTGAGACACGTAGGTCTCAAGAAGTGACAGATTTTCTAGCACCTTTGCAGACTTCTTCCAGATTGCATAGTTATGTCAAAGCAGAGGAAGACCCAATGGAGGATCCTTATGAGTTAAAGCTTCTGAAACATCAGATTAAGCAAGAATTTCGTAGAGGGACAGAGAGCTTAGATCACCTTGCTGGCCTTTCACATTATTACCATGCTGATACTAGTTATAGACATTTTCCAAAATCTGAAAAGTATAGCATCAGTAGACTCACACTTGAAAAACAAGCAGCAAAACAATTACCAGCAGCCATACTTTATCAAAAGCAGTCAAAGCATAAGAAATCACTAATTGACCCTAAAATGTCAAAATTTTCACCTATTCAAGAAAGTAGAGACCTTGAACCTGATTATTCGAGCTACATGACTTCTAGCACTTCATCTATTGGTGGCATTTCTTCCAGGGCAAGGCTTCTTCAAGATGACATCACTTTTGGCCTCAGAAAAAATATTACAGACCAACAAAAATTTATGGGATCATCTCTTGCCACAGGACTGGGGACCTTAGGAAATACCATACGGTCAGCTCTGCAGGATGAAGCAGATAAGCCATACAGTAGTGGTAGCAGATCAAGACCTTCCTCAAGACCTTCCTCTGTCTATGGGCTTGATTTATCAATTAAAAGGGATTCTTCTAGCTCTTCCCTAAGACTGAAAGCTCAAGAGGCTGAAGCTCTAGATGTTTCCTTTGGCCATGCATCACCCTCTGCCAGAACTAAGCCTACCAGTTTGCCAATTAGTCAGAGTAGAGGAAGAATACCAATTGTTGCCCAGAATTCTGAAGAAGAAAGCCCACTCAGTCCTGTTGGTCAGCCAATGGGAATGGCCAGGGCTGCAGCTGGACCTCTGCCACCAATATCTGCAGACACCAGGGATCAGTTTGGATCAAGTCACTCACTGCCCGAAGTTCAGCAACATATGAGGGAAGAATCACGGACTCGAGGCTATGACCGTGACATAGCATTCATCATGGATGACTTCCAACATGCCATGTCAGACAGTGAAGGTAAATTGGGCCTCAAAATACCCTGTTCCCCTCAAAACTCATACTCTTATTTTTCTGCATGCTTAATTTTTCTTCTCCAAAGATGTATTCTACTTTTCTTGGTATGTCTTTTGCATGTTCACTTCAATTTCATTTCTTATAAATGGAAATTTTATCTTGTGTACAGATTTTATAGCATGCTTTTCTTTATTTAGTTGCAGTTTATTCTTTTATTGTTCCATTTCTTGATTGTTTGCTTCATTTGTTTGGTGTTGGCTTTTTAAAAACCATTATCAAATGATTCTGTCAATAAAATATGGTCATCTTGTAAATCCATAGTTGGAAAGTTTTTCATTGTATGTTTCTTTCATTTTTTAAAATGCATTTTAAATGTTATTGGTCAGTTTCTTTCAGTTTGTGAAATTATTAAAGTTTAGAGACATGAAGTACTATGCTGATAGACTCTGTAGTAGAGAATTATTTATGGAATTTTTATGAGATCAGTGTTGATTAGTTCAGAGGATGTTCTCTTTTGGGAAACTTTTGGATAAGTCCTTGATGTTAGTATAATGCAGAATTTTATAATTCTCCTTAAATAAAAGATTTATGTTTCACATATATATATCTCTCTTTCATTGTGAATACAGTTAGTGACAAATTTGTACATTTTGCATTACATGCTAGGAAGCTTAGTACTAAATAAGATACTGAAAATAAATAATCTTATTACTATGTATGAAGCATTCTTTAGATTTAAAATTGAAAATTTGTAAATTACTTTTTTGACTTTAGCTATGTGGAATTCAAGCCTTCCTCATTTGCTCATTTAGCCTTTTCCTTGGCTTTCCTTTTTATATTATCCCATGTTTTTGCACTAAATTGTTTTTCTTGTTTTTCATATTAAAGAAGTGCTTTAATACAAGTACGTACTTAAATAAAAACTAGTTTAAAGTAATTTTGTTTAATAAATCCATAGAATTTTTTAAAATTATCTAGTTCAAGTCTAATTGTTTAGATGAGGGGGAAGTGGTACACGGTGTGAATAGCTTTGCACATACCAAGAGGATTCATGACTCTTGGTTCTTTCCTCCCCGCCTCTTTGGTTTACATTTGAACATAGGTGCAGATGGAGTTCTAGAAATAAAATATTATTTTATGCCTCTGGAGACATCACAGAACTATGCTAACATGAACATCTCCTGTTTCAAATCTAAGATCTTTCTTGAGGACTCACAGGAAAATATATGTTTTTATGAAAAGGATTTTCTTTCTACTTCTGTATCTAGACACAGATATGATTTTAGAAATTCAAATCCAGATTGTTTTTTTTTACGGAACGGAAGTAATCACTAGGATCCGAAGATCACAAACTGCTTTGTGAAATTCCAATAGGCTAGTCACTTTTTGATTTGTTTTCTTCTCTACAGGCTATTGGATTGACCAATTTTTATTGACAAGCGGTCAATGAAATAACACTCAATTTATTTATTTTTTTATTTAGCCAGTTGTTTCTCAGTGAATCTTTGTAGTTAAATAAGAATTGTGATAGTATGCGGAAATAGTCTTTAATATTTTCCTTTTTTACAATGCACATTTTACATATATAAAACAACTACTGCAGAGAAGTAAGAAGGTTCTTCAACAGTCATATCTGTAGAATAATAAAATAAACAAAAATAAAATAAAAGAAAAACTCTAGAGGGTCTATGGCATAAGTAAACACTTAAAGACTATGTGTTCATGATAATCATGTATGTGGAAAGAATTTGACAAATTCATTGATTCATCACAGATATTTTGTCAACATGGTGCTGAATATATACATGTTTCTAGATATCCCAATATGTAGCATTTGTTTACATATACTATATAAAAATTACTGTTTTATTTCTCATTTATATGTTTGGATGACATATAAATCATAATCATTGAAGACTATAAAAAATTGTTTTGATAAAGTAGATGATGAGACATCATGCAGCATACAAAATTATGAAATGTATAAAGATGATACTAAAGGAGTAAACAATTAAAATAAAATTTAAAAGAAATTAAAATGTATTTAAAAATTAAGCAGATAAGAAAATTATTCATAAAGTACATATTGATATAGGATTAGACAAAGGAAAACTATAACAAATGGAATTATATGTATAATAGTATGTATGTGAATTGTAGTGATTACCTTTAAAAGATGTATGTAGTAAAATGTTATATATTTTCTTAGCTCTCATATCACAAAAACATGTAACTTTTCTTCTAGTGAGACATGGTCTATTTTTCTTTTGAAATTTTGAATTTCTTGGGTATTTAAGGGAAAAAGTAGAAACATTTTTTCCCAATCATGTAACTTCTGACATTTATGAACTCATGTAATGTGAGGAATTTTTAGCAAATATATATCTGTATTTGAATAATATTAAGATAACCTTGAACAGTATAACATACTATAGGTTATTTACTATCATGTGAACAAAACAAATTTAATTGCTTTCAAATTATTTGTTGCATGCTTTTTCCAAATTTAATTAAATGCTATGTTATAGACTATAAGATGGTTTTTAGATGTATTGATTTTGAAATATTTCGCTTGAGTAAGAAACCTAGGTAGACATAAATTATGTTGCTTAATATTTCTAGCTTGAAGAACGTTATATTTATTTCTACCACCACAGATCTTTTGTTGAAAACATTCTTCCAAAATGTTCATCCTATGCCCCCCAAAGAAGTATCAATATATATAGTCTTTTTAAAAAAATATTTGATCAGAATTAGATAATGAGAATTAAACTATTCATCTAACTGTTGCTTGTGAATAATACTAGATCCAAAAATGACTTGTTTGTATTTTACATTTAGGTATTGAAGAAAATATTATCAATTTTTAAAAAGGGATGTTAATCTCCATCAAATTATATAAACTAATTTGGAAAATGTTACTGCTCTATAAAATTTAATTTTTAAAGTGGACTTTAAAGGCTCTTCCGTGGAAGATCAGACAATTGCAGTTAAAACAATTAACATTTTCTTATAACTGGCTCT